ACGTCGTTTGCTGCATATCAGATGGTTTGGTTGGCAATATACTTCCAAAGACCTGCATAAAAAACAAGCAGAACCCACGGACAATTCTAGCAGTTTGTGCAACGTTGGCAATAACTTCCAAAGACCTGCATAAAAAACAAGCAGAACCCACGGACAATTCTAGCAGTTTGTGCAACTCCCGTTACTCTGACGTTCTGGAGTCACTAACGTTTCCGGTGTGCACAGAGAGTTTTACCAGGCGTCGGATCCAGCGCTGAACTAGAGTGGTTGCGACAGGAAGGAGTTTGTCGCCGGGTCTCCAGTAGTCATTGTCCTATTGGAGAGCCAATGCTTGAAATACGTCCAACGGTGGGCATATTCCAGTGGCACGTTTCTTCAATCCAGGACGAATTTGTCTTAGATCTCTGGCCGATCGTTCGGTTTGCATTTCGATTGCTCACGCACACCCACTAAGACAATTGGGTTGCATTTGAAACTTCTTCGCCTCGTGATATGCCAACAGACAGGTCGATCCGCTGAAGCCTTGGGCGTGTCGGGATTTCCTAACCGGCAATCCGGACTTGAAACATTCCAGAGTAAGCTGTGCGCGAGTGCGAAAGCCTTCAGGTCAAACGCAGGTGTAGCATCCGATCTCACAAGCCCATCATCGATGATTCACCACCGGATCAGCCGATCGATGCGCTCCACCTACAGGGCGCGTTTGGTCGAGCAGGAGCAGGACCACCGTGAATACGCTGCAGTCATGCCTTGGCAAATTCGTCAGTCATTAAGTGTTTTCGTTGTCTCGCCCCAATTGGGAACTGAATGCTATAAGGATGAAGCTGGTTTGCGCAACATGAAAGGATTGATCGATTAGAACTAAACTTGCGGTTCATGTGTAAAACTAGAATCTGTACATTCCCAAGGGAACTCAGGCATCAAAATTCAGAGGTAATTTACATAGGTTTAAGCCATGTACCATGCTCCCAAGGACAGTATAGGAGTTTCAGTGTTTGGACTCATGCTTTTTTTGTTTTTAACCAAGTTGAAAGGATCCTAACTGACTCGGCTTTTTTAACCACCTCAATGAACCTCGCTTTTCCTTGGTTGTAGGGCGGAGACATGTTCTTTTACAACCTGTTGGATGCGTGCAAGCTTCAGTATGGACATCACAAGTCCCGCACTGCAAAGCGATCAAGTTTCTTGGTCTTTATGAATGAGGTCCATATTTTCAAACAGTTTCGTTTGTTTCCAAAGTCACCCCAGCATCTAAGAGATAATCTTTATCACCGTGGCGACAGCTGGGAATGCGCGATGTCAGTGAAAACCAGCCTGTTTTGAGGTTCACGAGTATATAGTCATGAGTTTGCACACGCTGTCGAACTGTCAAGGATGAGGTTGTCAAGCCGTTTCTTCGCCTGCTGTTGCAAACACCATTTACCAGGTGTCACCGTACGAGTGTTCGACACATTCGTTATCCAAATTCGTAGACTTTTACCACATATTAACAAACAAGCTGTCATCCCAACATTTTTCAATCCGATCCCGTTCAGCCTGATTCCACGCATAGGGTTCGCGGCAGCACAGTCCCAATGAGACTTTTGAGAAGATGAGTGTTATAATGTGAGTTTGCTGCAAGGGGGAAAAACAGTCCGTTGACATGGCCGGTTCTAACGTCTGGAAAAACACAACGGACCGCGAGGTAAACCCGCATAAACTGTCCCTTGCACCATTGTCCGGACGTGGTAAATCGAACTGATATCACCTTAAAGTTGAGTCGTGGATAGGGACGAAAAAACTATCGGATATTCACCATGAGGTTTTCCGAAGTGCAAACAAAAGGTGCTCCGGAGTTGACTTTTGCTTTTAAGGTGAAATAAGATTGATGGTGCTTTTTGTGCCCATATAATATTTAAAGAAAGGTTCTCCTCTATTCAACAGTGAGAGTCGAGAAAGTCAAAAACGGGACTTGCAGGGGGCAGAAACAAAAATCACGATTGGTCCATACACCAGGACATGTAACGATCCCCACTCTCCACAGAAATATGGAAGAATAATATCTCCATCCGCACCGTCTGATAAAGTCATTTTCCCTTTCGGAAATATTCAATTGCCAGATGAATGGACCAGTTGAAAATGTGTAACGACTGACCACGCGCACCGCATCAGCCAATTGAGGTTAAATGAGGCGCAATCATTATCTTCCGAAGATTGACTAATTAGGTTAGTGCTCTCGGGTGCGTTTAGACAAGACGTAAGAAGTTAGAAAAGTATGTGGGAAATGCTGCAGAACGGCAATCTTTGAGTAAGCTCTGGTGAGAGATGCCACAAATAAAATTTTACTATGTTTTGTGGTTCAGTCGGACCGGTTGTATTGGGATCTCGCATTCTCTAATTACATGTATGCACATGTATCAGCCTAGCAAAGAACAAATGGAAATCGTAAAATAAGGAGACAAGTGTTTTGGGTGGTCTTTTGAAAATCTGAATGTGCTAGCTTAAATGCGAGCAGAGGAAATAAAGATGGCAATCAGATGTCAGCAAGAAAAACGACTAATATCTATGAAAAATTAACTAATGTGCCCCGCAGCCTAAATGTTTTCATGAAGGCCATTAAAATCCCTTCTACACGTCAGCATGTTGACGAAGAACAAGTTCATCTGGAACTCCCTAGCTCACACCCCAGTTTGGTAAAAGTCACTTATCAATAGTCACTGAAAGTGAGTAAAATAGTCTTCGATTGGACACTCGTGGGTCATTCGTAGTTTTGTTTAACCGTAGCATACTAGAAATACTACAAGTATAAGAGTGAAATCACAGATTGCTTGGGGAACGTAATATTCGATCAGGTGAATTTCATAGATGCGCAATGAGTCCTCGCTTATTTTCCAAGGGACAGGAGTGAAACTCAATGATAACAAAGGAGGGTGTTTTTGTACAGTTAGTTTGGGCATAACAAACCAAATGTAGCACTTCTTCGCGGAATTGTCAACAAATTCCCATTGACGAGATCTACTCACCACTTTCTTACTCGGACTCATTTTATGCACCAGTACTCGAAAGAAAAGGAAATAAAAACCATTAGTGATCCCTCCAGCGAAACCCAGAATCCCGGTTCGCTGGTATCTGCTTTTGCCTTTGCCCAATAGGTATTTGGGTTCTCATACGAAAGGACAACAGCATCATCATTTTTAACCTTAACTCAGGCCTCATTAAGTCTAATCATTGATTAAGCCGACCATGAAAAATAGTGAACAAACGGTTTTGGAGTGTATAGATAAGGGGAGAGAGAAACACAAAGAGGGAAGTGCAACTGGCTCGGATAAGCATGACCACAGGAATTCGCTACTGACAGTGACATATCATCATAACAAAAAATGCTTCGAATCATTAAGAAGAATATTCCCCCTAAGGTAAGCCGTGTGGGGTACAACATCTAATGCCCCGAATTCTTGTAATCCAGTAACTTCAACACTGTCGTCTAGGGACTTGCAAATATGGAAACAATCGACGAGAAAAACGAAATTTATCAAAAAAATCTAAACTGAAACAAATGGTGGTAGAGATGGGTAGAGTTTATACAATCTCTCTCCAGTGTATAGTAACACTAGTGGAAGGGAAAGACAGAACCTAAACCAGGAAAGACTAAAGAGTAATCAGAAAAAAAGCTACCAAAATAAGAATTGGCGGCATTAGGTGAAGCGTCCAAAATGTGAGAATGGAAACAGATGAATGGACACAAACAGTGCACAAGAAAACGATTTCTTTAACGAGTGAATAGTTAGGGGTGGACGCAGAATGTAATGAAAATCATTCAGCTGTAGCACGCTTTCGGTGCCTAATTGCCATGCCACCAGAAGGAAGCATGAGGGCTGGGACACTGTCAGGTTGCCCAGGGGAGGTTGAGAGGCAGAGGTCGGGTCCGAACCACGGACCTTCCGGTCAGTAAATTCGCGCCTTTAATACTGAGCCACCTCGCCAGAAGCTATTAAAAATCATTAATCACGCTTTTCTTCAAGGTAAAAGTGCATCAAGATGATAGCCCGGATGTGAAATTCAGACGTTCGCAGCTTAATCCAGGTGAAGACAATCACTTAGGAAAAGAAGTGGCCCAAACGAAAAGGCCAAGTTTACAGATAATGTAAAGTCGAGGTTAGAAAAATTGAAGTTCACAAGTCAATCAGGAAATTCGAAATGTGAAGTAGCTGCATCAACGGAAAATGACATATTGACGGCTACACGTCTGCAAACGTCGTCTTAAGTTAAAAAAAAACGTGATGAATATCAGGGACATTCTCTTATATTGGTCAAATACGCCATCCTAAGTTCCGCAAACAAAAAACTAGTACGTGAGGCAGCTACTTTGGTGGTGATGCAGCTCAGTGACCCTAATCGGGCGGACCCTTGTTGGAGTCTGAAAACATTTTTCAACAGGAAGGAACGTCCCTTGGGCAGCTAAGAAAAATCTGGAGTGCTGTGCTCACGTGATGAAGAATTCTCTTCAGTGGGGAATGAACCCGGGGTAGAACACAAGGAAACGACTAATTTACACTTCTACCTTGTGTGATAACCAGCGACTGAGGCACTGAACCAACGGTGAAGACTACTGGTGCACTGTGTTTGTCGTTACGAGACAGTATAACATATGGAACAGCAGCAGATAGGCACCGTTAGTTTAAACTTGGGAGCGACCAGTAACTTTTAAAACTATTATACAAACCAATCGATCCCAGTAAGGGTAAAAAAGGTAACAACGGAAAACTGTAAAGGTTTGAAGTGTGAAACAGTGGCCCGAAACAGTTTGGAGAAAAATCAACACCAGCCATGAGAAAATAATAAGAATGCGCGGGTAGTACGTCCAAAAATCGATGAAATGCTTCGCCCCTTATAGGACTGAATTCGCTGGACAGCGGGCTGTTCGAACAAAAAGGGAGGTGATGGAACTTTTGCAGGTTCGTACGGGTAGCTAGTTTACGCGCTCGAGTAATAAAAATGATGGAACGGTTACAAACACATCTTACCTGGCTCTTGGCCAAAAATAAGTCCACAGTTGGGTTTCGAGGTGCCAGTGTGGGGCTATATATTTTATCCCATATTATGCGGTTCACAGTTCGATTGACAAGATCGGTATGCCCGGTCGGGAATGGAAAGAAAGAATAAAGAGAGCTTCGTAAACATTGAGAATGCACACGATACGATCTTGGAATAAAACAAGAGTTCCCCACAAAAGAAAAAACACCGTACACACCGCCACACTTAGTTGAATGGCACCAGAATCACCCAACATTCCAGTTGGTTTATACGAGAAGCAAACAGCTACACCAATTTTTTTCTCAGGAGATGGAGTGAATATAAGCAAGAAGGATTCACCATCACTTGAAGAGAATTCGATGAAGTCGGTGTGATATCACATGTTGATCCGAGCAAAACGGTGCAAATGTAACGAGTTCCACTGTTAAATTGATGCAGACGAACACTGGTTCCTATTTCGCTATACAATCAGGGGACGGTGAGACGAGAGTACACCAGGGACCGACACCAACTAACGATATCGGGAGACAATGAAAACTGAGAGGACATTGTGGAAAACGAATAATTCAGCTACACTTTTAAAGTCGCAGTCAAGCTGGGCGAAGGTTCTTTGAGGAGCGGTGATATGTGATATTTTTTGGTGGAAAAGTCGGTTTAGTGTCCAGCGAAGTGTAAAACTAGGTTGATTAATGCATAGAGTACGCCAGATGCACCCTCGCCAAGTAGTTGACAGCGAGGAATGATCCGAATCCCCCAACCCATAGAGCTTCTGTCCGATGAATCAGTATAAAGTCTATAGCCTTGTGGACTGAACTGTCACACGACTACGTGTTTTGATTCAAGGCCAGGCTACCCTGCAGTTACGCGAAATCATACACAGAATACCGGTCATGTTGTTGGGAACTTCACCGTGGCATCGTTGTATGGGAAACTGCAGCTTCTTTGGCTGATTGGCTGAAAGCGGACAGCCAAACCCGGCGAACAAATTAATTGCCGTCTGATAACGAATAAGCGCACCCGAGTTACTAATATTCCGATAAGCTGCCAACTGAAGTCCAATGGCCACTTTCGGAAAGACCCAACAGAGGAAGAACACCAAAAAACGGCCGCACCGACCCCGGATAAAACGCAGTACAGCACCACCGATGCACCGTCAAGCTAGAGGACAACGCGATAAGCTGAAGGCGTGGGAAGTTCGGTTTGAGTGCCGAATGCACACCGTCATTTCACACCTGGTTGTCAAGTAAAGTGGGGGGATGGAACTAGAAATCACAGGAAATAACCCGGACTCAGCGGTCGATAACCCGGAATGGATCCTCTCAGAACCTGACGATGGCCGCCGTTGGGATGTTTGTGGGATCATACCTTCAGTCTCCAATAGCGATCGAGCTTCACGACCGTACAACGAACAATATCCCAGTTGTGGCGATCTTCCTTGAAATACCCCCAGCATATAGGGTTGACATCGAAACAGAATATCATACTCAGTGCTGTCCCTCGGGAATGTGGTACGGCACAGCGTGACGGATTTGTTGAATCGCGGTCTAACTGGAACACCTTTGCGTCTGACAGCATCATTATGGTGTGTATCCGATTCACTTCCGACCAAACAATGTTGTCCAGATTCATTATCCAGTACCTGAGCGAAACCAACAGACTACAAGCTGCTAACTACTAAGGCAAAGACACTATCCGTTCGATTAGACGATATGCAGGAAGGGTACGCTAGAGAGAATAACGCTATTTAATGTGGGCTTTAAAGCACTCTGGACAAGACAAAAATCATGCGAAAATTAAATCACTGCACAAGAAAGGAATTGTAGAACGTTGACATCTCAGGTGGCACAATTGAGGGTCGCGTTGTTCTCTAGGCCTGGCGACAAGGTTACCACGCCCAAGGAACAACCCAGCCATCGGTCCACAAGTACCTCGGATGCCACCATAAATTAACGTGATGTTGGTTCAGTGAGGGATGACAAATCCCAACGTGGTCAGTAGGATCTCACTGCTTCATGAAATACGTGAAACACATGCAAAAGTATGCTGAAGTCAGAGCAGGCTGTTAATCTCATTGTAACTGTTCCACTGATCGGGAAAAATCCATTACTGCAGCCTGATTATAATACATAGACTTCATATGCTCATGTCCCTTGGAACTTGCTGTTGAGGATACCAGGCAGTTTTACACATCATATTTATAAATTTTTGTGACCGTTTTTAAAGAGTGTTAGATATCCAATTATACCTCTCCGCTACTGTTTGTCAACGAGGTTGAAGGGAACCACTCCGTCAAGTTTTTCGAAAGTCTTTCCAAGACTTCGAGAGAAATCGACAAGAATGGCTTACCTACGGCCGACAAGGACCACTGTTTAGGCTGATTAGAGGAAAAACAACGGTAATCGCAGTTAAAACAAACGGTTTGGTTATCCTGGCATTTTTCAGGTAGCTTGCAGGAATCAGCTAATCAGTGTCCGTTCACGAATGTTTCCACTGTTTATTTACATGATTTGCAACTGAAGAGATTAGAAAATTTTTAACATCGCAGCATATGTCTCTTGTCAGTTCTCATGGGAGCTTTTTTATAGCTTCACCTTCCGATCACTGGCTGAGGGTCTTGTGAGCAGAGAGGAGAAACAGGAGCTGTTTGGTGTCCATCGATGTACGTCATTCTATTGGAGGCTTTTCATTTGGTCAAGGTATGACCATCACTTATGCGTAGTTGATGTTTATGAGCTCTGGCCACAGAGCGGATATAGGACTGACTACCGTTTCGACTGGCACGGTCAGGCTATGAGGTGCCAATGCCCCCACACAGTACCGTTCCGTGCACCTGTGTGAATTGATTGAACTGGTCAAATAAAACAATGTGGTTTCGGTTTAAGAGTGGTTTGGTAAACAAGCAGTAATTTTATTGCTGGGCCGTGTTTCACTTTGGGTACCCAAGCTTCGTCGGGCCAAGTGAATAAGTTATAAGGCTGACCGAATTTTAAGACAGTCAGAGAAGCCGCCTCTGAGATTTTCTGCAACTAGCAGTATTGGATGTCAGTCAGGTGGTCTCGTTTGTTGGTTAATGTGAATGACTAAGGCCATGATAGGTTGGTGAGGGGGGTTGTCATCATGTTGAATCAGGATTTTATAGCATTGCTTTTCCGGTCATCATCATAAAATATTCCTATTGGATGTGGTTAGGATAATCTGCTGGTCTACATTTTTTTAGGTGGTACTACGACAATCGGACTGGGGTTGGGGGATTAAGCGGACCTTGCTCTGCTTGGGTTTTGTACTTCAGACCCAGAATATTTCAGTGATAACCGCATACCGCCTCGTGTCATCTCGGCTAATCTAAAACCAATAACAATAACAGCTGTTCAACTGTAACACTTTTTCGGTGCCCATCTACAATTCCACCCTAAAAAAGCACGAGGACTAAGATACTGCCAGTTTACCCAAGCCTAAATAGGTGATATTGAGATGCTGAGGTTGGGTTCGAACCATGGGCTTTCTGGTCAGGAAGTTCACGTCTAAAACCACTCATCACACACTTGCCCGTTCTAAGCCATCCATTGCATTTACGCTTGTGTGTTCAGCGACCCCTACCGCCTCGGTCACCAGCCGCCCTGGTGTGAATCGTAACCTCTGTCCCAAAATTTCGGCATTTTCTAAACTTATTGTGCCCAGTGTCCAGTGCATGTCCCACCAATGCCGAGTCTTGAACTAGCACCCAATTTCTACGTTTCTGAGTGGCCTGTTCATACACCGCTTATCCTCACTGATTCTGGTATACAACTCTCTAGCTGCTACCTATGTAAACGTTCGTGCGGTCGCTACGTTCACTTTGTATACATAGTTCCCAGTCCTATCAACCGGGAGACGATCCTTCAATTGAACCGATACTGAACGTAAAGCTTTCCCCTTCTGGAATGCTACTCTAATCCTAGTCACATTCAACATCCTTCTAATGATTTCAGATGCCCTTGTTTTGTGTGGCATAACTGCTGTTCCGACACACCCATTGTTGGGTCTTGGTGTTGGGGCCAATATCCGTCTAAGATGCCGCCTAATTAGACCCACGGGGTATCTGCTGTCTTGAAGTCTCTTTTTAATCTCAATTTGTGCTGTTGTTCAGTCGACTCCCTCTGCGGTCTTCTTGGTCGAGTGAATATTGTTGAGTAGTTTGAGACCGCACAATGTCTATTGGTTTCTGGTAAGCAGTACTTTCTAACTTCCCATCACTCTTGTGTGTCATGCAACCTAGGAAAGGCAGTGCACCTGACATGGAGTCTACCTCCAGGCCAAACTAAATGTGAGTGTTAAGATATTGACAGAATTCCTTAACCTTATCGCGCCTCCTCACAACAAACGTGTTACCTACCTAGCGCCAGAAAAACCTCGGTGGACACCTGAATCTGGCTAAAGCTTTCTGTTCGGAGTCTTCCACATACATATCGGAGAGAATCGGAGACCCCATCGTCAGACAACATACTTGAGAGTACATAACCGAGTTTAAGAAAAGTAACCGAGGCTTAAGTATATTTTGGTGCCGTCGATTATCTCGGTTACGGAGAGTTGCGATCATTCTTGTGTAGATGTGTCTCTCAGTAGCAACCGCCTTGATACTTCAAGAAGGTCTATCATAGGAACAATTGTATACATCGAAAGAGAACAAATGACCAGTTTGTCTAGCTCCAACGGAAACTTAGCTACCTTTTTAAGACAAAATCATACGGACTTTGCATGTGTGGATGACTTGTCCGTAAGTGGTTCTAGGATACCTGCCAGAAATCTGGTCAGCTCACGTGGTGGTGAAACTATGCCATTCACTATTGACCTTGTGGGAACATTCACCTTGTGAATTTTAGGAAGCACATGAGGCCGTGGTGGGATTGCACTTTATGGATACAGTCGACACCAATTGCCTTGTTTCAGATGATTTATACCCTCATGACTTTAAAATTGCTCCTATTCATTACTGACATAGTCTACCCGCTGCCTATTTGTCGGTAAGGTCCGTCGGCTTAGTGTTGCCTAACCTTTTGCATATAGTCACCCTTACTCATGAAAACCTGGCCTTACCCTTAACTGCCTTTGTGATTATGATATAATTCACGTGTTTAAAGGCGTTTAAAGCTCCTCGCTAAATTTGAAGTCCGCGATTGTTGAAACTTCAGGACTGTGCCCAACTCCACTAGCAATTTCTCTGCTTCCATCGGGGGGAATTTCCTGAAACACGAATTAAACACTAAGAATAACCTCCACTGCCCTTATGGCTTTCTTGCTGCGAGATTCAACCTCTCCTCTAGCAGACAACGCTCATTCAGAGCTGAGGATCGATTTGATAAATCGACTCCCCCGCAGTAGCTAGTAGACGGCTTAATCTTTCCAACTGATTGACTAGAACAGTTCCGGAGAAACTAGCCTTCCGAACTCACGTATTCGTGTCTTTGTATTGTCGACATTCAGAGTATTTTATATCCGCCTCATCCTCTTCAGTGCTAAGTAATTCGAAATTTACGGATAAGTGCGGGCTGAAGATCGGGTTGACGACATGCGTTGTGGCGGATATCAGATAAATGGTGGGTGGTTCGATAAACGATGTCTGAGAAAGCTGAACTCTGGCAGAAGCGAGAGACGAATAGGGGGGCTTATGAATCTAGTGTTGAAAACGCGATGGTTCTCCCAGCTTGCACCCGATTTCGCCAATCGAACTTATTCACTCAATAATTTCAGAAAATACGATCCGTAGGTGATTCCAATCAATTGAAAAATTGCTGGAAACAATTGAGAGGTATGGTAGACAATCAGTGCAGTTATTGCTGGATCACTTTCCACCAGCATTTTCCATCAATTAATACAGAATAATAGCTGAATCTTTCTCCAGCTTCTGGAATTGTGAGGGATTTTAGAGAGCAGGTATTTTGTGCTCCGCAACGCGCAATCTCAGTGGCCAGTACTACACACTAAACCAGTTTCCACAACTGATTTTGTGTATGTAGTTTGGTAAGTTAGTCTGATGGAATCTTTAGGCTGTATCAAGTGATTATTAGTGGTCATGTGCGTATGTAAAATTAAGAAAAAACGGCACGCATTCACATAGCAGTTTGTGCACCGTTAGGGATCTGAACTGTTGATGAGATAGAAGTTTCTGGGTTTCCCGCTATCTGAAACCAGTCGGATACAGAAAAATTAATCCGCCGCAGCATATTCATCACCATCATCTGTAAAAAACCGCGAACATACTGTAGTGGCTATACCTGCCATGACTTCGTTCACCGATGATTTGAGGTGAGTGGGCTGATGCCACGGTGGTCTTCACACACCATCCAAGTACCGTTTTTGAAGAGCGAAATAACTGTCGATGTGCCTCATTCTCCAGACACTCACCCCATTTTGCACTAATGAGATCAGCTAGATGGGTCAACAGGGATTCTTTGCCTTCTTTGGAAAGGGTTGAATAAAGACCATCTGATGCTGGTGCCTTCTCACATTTAATTATGAGAAGTTCATATTTCACTTATTTTTCGACGGGCGACTGAGGTTGTACTCCGTTCGCCCATATGCAAACGTTTAGGATGAGATTTCGTACTGACTATAAACAGCTCATGATAACCACTGGAAGACTCGCTGTCCGTTGCCTGTTCGACGAGCATCGACTCCGAATCGACCGCCCAGTTGTGATTCCAGGTAGCTCAGACGACCAATCTGGGCATTCATATCACCCGTGAGGACCAAAATCTCAGTGATTCTCACTGAACGAACGAGTCCAGATATCTCTCTATAGAAAGTACTCTTATCAGTGGTAGAACCGCAGCCCGTTGGGGAATAAGTCGACACTACAAAACAGGCCGTTTTGAGACGTTTGGGTTTTGCATGTGTTTCAGAGATGCAGCGTACATCAGTTTTAGGGAGGTGTGGGCACTGGACACACGTTAATTGTTTGCCAGTTTGACATAGAGTATGGACGCTAAGAGCTCCTATGTTGAAAGGATTTTGTGGATTTCGCAAGGTGTTATTTTGTTTATTATCGACAGTCAGTGTGGAGCATGTGGAGCATGAGGTACATCAGTCGGAGTGCAGACAGTCAAATGACCCAGCAGCGTTCGCTTGTATGGTAGAAAGGGGTTTAGGAAGAACGTCGGTGGACAAAGACCTGTGCGGGCAAATAATAATTCCCGGTTGCCCAGGTCGAGGAAGGGGTTGAGGTGCCCCATCTTGAGCCTGTGGCTCAAAAGTTTGACACACAAGGCAGTGGGAAGATGTAATGTTTTGTTGGAGGAACCTCCTCCTAACCTCTAACTTAAAGACCTGTGCAAATAATAATTCCCGGTTGCCCAGGTCGAGGAAGGGGTTGAGGTGCCCCATCTTGAGCCTGTGGCTCAAAAGTTTGACACACAAGGCAGTGGGAAGATGTAATGTTTTGTTGGAGGAACCTCCTCCTAACCTCTAACTTAAAAATCAGACCCACTAGGAAGCAGGCAGTAGGGTTTTCTTTGAGGACGCTTCCCGTAGCCGACCACTTTGAATGTTGCTGCGGTCGTCAGACAGACACGCTGATTAGGAATGGGACCTAATTAATTTCTCGGGCATAAAGGGTTGAAATATAGCCTCTCCGATATTGCCAGCGGTCTCAAAGATAACCAAACACTAACGACATATCACATTATGTTGAACTGAGGCCGACCGTTATCAATGACTCTTTAGCTACAAAGTGAGCGACGTTTTTCACAACACTAGGAGATACCAGCTCTATTAAGGTCAGTCCAAAAGTTCAGAATCTGAACCCAGTGCATTCAGGGAAATTCAGAGTTGATTTGTCTTGTGTTGCCCCCACACAATACCACTAATGCACCACCCAGCAGTCTCGCTATGACCAATGGACACAACGGTACTGAAAGAAACTGTGGCAGCTAGAACCACTGTACGGTAAGCACGCGGTTCTTACACCTGATGATGATTTCTCGATTTGAGAGGAATAGACATCCTATTCTCGTTTAGACGTAGAAGACAATAAGTCTAGTATAAAACAAAACAAAACAATACAATACAATATAATACAATAGACCAGCACGTAAACACAATCCCATTTACATGAATCTAAGAAAGCCCGCTGAAGATTAACTTTCCACTCACTTTAGAAAGATGGATCGTAGCAACTGATCTGGAGAGATCGGCAACCTCCTCTCGTTGAGCAGAGGGAACGTGGCGAGAGGTTGATCCAGAATCAGGTGACACATATGCGAGACGAGGACTTCCTCCGTTCGATGGAACATTGAGCGCAGGTGAAAAGTGACGGGAACTCCTGTATTTCGCGGGCTGAAGAAGGAAAACGAGCATGCGGGATGAACAGATGGTTAAGCCACTAGAATATTTGAGTCACAACTGCGATTTAACCTGGATGCGCGACAAACTAGAAAGTAAACGCTAATTTCGGACGAAGCACTACATACATCAAACTTCATTTTGGCATATCGTTTAAGGAACAAAAAGTTCTGACCTTCTGAACCGTAATAATAAAGGAACTGTTTGAATTGGTGAATGACGGGGATTCGTGGCACACAAATGTCGGGGCGGATTTCCATAAAAATACTAAAACTATATCGGGTTCGTTTCGCAAGCATTAAGTTTCACATATTTTCTAATGTAATAGGGCCTAAAGTCCACGCGGTGGAAGTACACCAAGCAAGCGGCAAACATGTCGTCAGACAATAAAAACCAGTGTACATGTCATCTGATTCGGTGGACAGCCGCGACCGGTTGTGTAACGAAGCCACTTTTTTCCAAAACCACACAAAGAATAGGTGATGTGCTTCCTACTTTATGAACAAGGAAACAGCAAATCACAGACACCGTTACCAACTACGTAATCAGATACAAACGAGACTAGTAAATTCAGATTCCATCGGATACCATCGGGAGTATGTATCATGATAAACGGACGTATCCACCCTATACTCCCCCCGAGATGCATCCATAAGCTATGTGACAGCGCAGCCTCTGTTCATTCCTATCCACTAGCTTCTCGTGATTGTTTCCTCCGGATTAGGGCGAAGCGGAGATCCGAACTGATAGTCAAATGGATGCCTATCTCGGAGAAGTGGTTAAACCATTCAAGACGACGTAGTAGGCATTTTACAACGTGGTTTAGGGACGACAAAGCTGAACCACTGCAGCTGGCCGGCGAACATGAGACTAGAGTACACCGGGCGTCCAGGATTACTTACCTCCATTTGAAAAGCGTAAGACCAAAAGCACAAGCACTCAGCCGAGGGTGAAGACCATACTCCGGTGTTGCGCATCAAGTACTAATCGACCAAATGATTTACGGAAATTCCTCTAGGGCAAATGAATACCTTCATCGTTTAGCCGTCCGGGAAGCAAGTTGCCCAAATCAATTACATGAAATTGAATTGCATCTTTAGCCTCTACGCCAGATCTCACTGGACCGTATTGGCTGCGCAGGCGCTGTCAGATAACACTCCCAAATCTTCAACCACTTATACGGTTTGGTTAAGCATCCTCGATCTCAGTCTGCCCCCTTCATTGCGTCCGACCAACTCTCGGAGTTTTGATCAGCGAGGCACAATCAATAGTCGATCTACGTCCCTTAACACGTCGTTGAAGCCTTCACAACCTCTGACACCGACTGGAAACCTCATTCTGGGTCTCCAAATCGCACTCAACTTACAGCCTTGAAGTGCGCCAGCATTGATGTAAGCATAGCAACAAGTGGCGATGGCACGGAAACTTGAATCCCTGAACTTAAGTGTGCCATATATCGCGGGTTAGACAAAGCCAATATAGAACTTACACTACAGTCTTCGAAGCCTGACTCAAGAAAACTGCACAAACTAATGTTGTGCGGAGCGGAAGTTACAGACTAGATCGTGGTATGATTTGCACTAAGCATTTTCGCAAAGTCCGCACAATTTTATTGGTTTCCGATTAACAGCAGATTTGTGCCTCACAATCTGACCATACCTTTAGATTCTCAAAGATACATGGGAATATAGCCTATTTTTCTGAGGTTGCATACGCTCCAATCAAATGCAGTCATGGCGATGAGAAAGATTCAATTTCATGGGTACTCGGCACAGACATGCTGGTATTCGCCGGGGACATGGGTGCTCAGATTGGCAGACTCGGTCTAGACAATGATATAGCTGACTGACATTCTATAGCCATTCAGAGTACCGATGCTGAAAGATGACAACTGCGACCATACCGAAAACCGTTCAAATACAAGCGAGTTATTTTGCGCTCACCCTCTTCTAATCAACCATAGAAGCAGACTTGTCACGTGGCAGCCAGTTGTTACCGAACAGACTGTGTTCAGGACTGTTGACCGTATTGGAATGCATAGGTTAACTTGGTAACAAATAGGCGTCACTAAAACTGAAGTGGCACAATCGCGTTGTGTTGAAGTTGTTGATTCTGTCACCGCCTTTGTCCAAAGACACGATGACTATTGGTTACACGTTTGTGATAGGGAGCAGCCACTAGGCACCGAGGCTTGTGCTACAGTTATGCGGAAAAAAAGGTGGAAAACGCTTCTCGCTCACTGGAGATAAAAGAGACCCACTGACTAGAAGCAACTACAACTACGTGAACAATATACTCAACAGAAACTTCGTGGATTCAAGATGCTAAGAAACCACATCGAGCAACTACCCAAGACTTTTCAAAATTATTCTGGAGTTCGACTTTCTGGAACCCATAGGTTCCGGAAATTGGAACCAAGGAACTTATACTGGATCATTTTGCTTCGTCACTATGATACCAATCTTCAACGATGACATTCTGGGTACATCAGTCATCAAACTCATTATACGTTTTGGATTTCAGCGTCATGAGGCGAGGTGAAACTCTGCAAAGGAAAACCGACTTTGGCAAGTCAGTAAATCTGTTCGAATAAGTTTTTTTCAATTAGCTAGAGGAGAAATCAAGCAGTGTTTTAAAAAGCAGATAATGAAGATATGCTCTCCTCAACTTCTCCTAGAACAAGCAAAATAGCCATCTTGAAAGATCAAGTGTTCAGACTACCAGCCGACAGGTCGCGAGTTCGAAACCCAATAGAGTTTTGCGAAATTGGCACTGTTGATGATCCCTAAAATCGAAACAGCTGTAAAGTGCTGGGCAGTTTCACTTACAGGATCGAATCTCCATAAAAATATTGAACGATCTATAACCAAAACGATGCAGTGTCTAAAACAAACAGAAACCCATTATCAGCTAAAAAAAGCGTGTTCACAGCAATATGCCATTTCAAAGAGAATTAGTTCTTGCAGAGATAACACGAGGATACATCCCATTACATTGCTTCAACCCGTAAAGCTGCCATTTTGTGTCTGATTCTTAGTTTCAACTCTGCTGCCATTTTCCAGCTGCAGGATGAAAATGTCAGTAGCCTGTTTTGCGTACAATCTTCTATGTGCTCGTGGTGGAGGTTGTGTGTCGGTCATAAGATGAGGCATTTGTCGGGCGGAATACGAGATCATAAACCGAAATGACTGAATCACGGATTGCGGAAGGCCATCCCTAACGCATTGCCGATGACCGAAACCAAACCTATAAGAAGGCTGTTTTTCTATAATAATTGTTTCGCCAAACTGTAGTCCTTCAGAGAATAGAGTTTCCGACGAACTTTTTTTCACTCCCAAAATAGGGTTCCATCACCGCACAACGAAAGATTTACATCCATAGTAAGTGCGCTCGCGAGAAAAACCATACTTCGCCAACATTTCTTTCGACATCCTGCAGATAATATGCGGTGTGCTATTAGTCAGCTGGTCCGAATAATTATTATGCATCTGTCACTTTGTTTTGTAATCGCAGGAGAGAACAACGTGACTAACAGATCGCTTTCCACCTGACCCATACAACGCACCGGATTAGACGGCCTGAATAGTCCAATTTAACTTACCTAGAAGGTGCGCGTCATAACTAGCATTAAAATAAACGTCATTATCACAAAAACAAGTAAGACAGGTTTCAACCAACTAGTCATCTACCTACCTATCTACAATTTGATGTATGAGTGCACATCAGATTTGGTTTATTTCTCGCGCAACCTGTGATAATCACACGTAGCATTTTCAACACACACTGGTACTCGATAATTTGGCGCCAAGCTAACAGGCGGAAACATCGAAAAAAAACCTGCTTCGGGACACGGTGCGCAAGACCCGGTGACCGGGTCTTGTGCTTGGCAAAGCTTCAAATGATGCTGAGCCTCAAAAAAACGGTAAGCAAACTGGACCAGCATCGTCAAAAAACTTCTCAAATATCAGGCGGCTGTTGATCTGTTCGCCGAGCTTGGCAACTGACTTGCAAACGTTTCGTCACCATACGAGGAGACATCATCAGTTCGCACCCGACCAGCAACTAATAAAGTCACCCAATATTTCGACACACTTCTTAAATACGGTGCTCAGACGTACTTGTTTCGATAGTACTCGAATACGAGGTCGAATTCCTTTTGATCGCTTAGCAAGCGTTACTCTTTTCACCCCTAGTATAGCACTCGCCCATATGAAGGTATGACAGTAATACGATGTATTTGTGTGAGAGTGAAATCAGATACAAAACAGTGGAACAAACGAACGGTTACGTGCACAAAAAGCTGTGCGGAACAAGTAATTCATTCAGGGTAAGGGATAAAAAAGGACTGCCGTCGAATTAGACGAACTAACTCGGGTAGGACACAAACGTCACAGAAATCACGATACATATGATGCGAAAAACATCCGGTTGGTAAATAAGGGACAAATGTAGACATAACTGGAGGGTCCACACCAATAGTTCCACCACTACCGTAACGGCGGATACTACTAATAAGGCATGCAACGAAGGCCTTTCCTCTTTTCAGTACTACTACTACTACTCACCTCCGTATATTGTGACTCGGCATACGGTCTTGGTAGAACTCCCATAGAAGGTGCATGCATCTCGTAGTCATACATTTCTCGCAGGGGAGAAGAAAGATCCACAGGCCACTTTGAAGCAGCAGCCAGACGACCAAAAGCCCTATCTCCAGTAGCCTCCGAAGACCCCCGTGCTTTGATTGCCTCGGGAGATGGACCAGCGTCAGCACCAGAAGCGGTCAACCGAGGAGTCGGATCCCATCCTGGAGGAGCCTCGTAATGCACAAGGTATTGACACATATGGGTATAAGTATCACCCTCAGCAGGCTCGTTCGCATATATCTCCAACCCGTATTCGCCTATAAGTAAGAAAATGTAGCGAAATATTAACGGGGAAACTCAACTTCAGGGTAACCGAAGCCGTGGGCCTGAAAAAGTGATGTTTAGAGTGGATGGAGAACCAAGGTACTTTAAAAACGGACAGAGGAAGAAATTGTCCTTGTTGCAACGGGTAGAACATTACTGAAATGCGTGTCTAAGAGTAGGTTTTGTCAAATAATTGAGTCGGTAGGCACCTCAGACCGATATCAAAGGCAGTACAATTCAGTTTACCACTGGTGACAAGATGCTGATGCACACAGAAGAGGGTGGTCCACATCGCCAAAGCGCAGTCCCTAAATCAGGATTTATTGTGAAAAGGATAACCCGATAAACAGTGACCATAAAAGATCACATTTTAAGCACAACATTTTCTAAGTGACTTTATCACGGTGGACTATCGCGTTCCGGTTGAAATGCTCCACAGTCCTATTCAGTGGTCACATCCCAATTCACTAACTGAAGGACGTAGGGCTAGGTGAATTAGCAACCTGTGGCTTTGTGCACACACCCACATACCGCCATGTGGCTACTGTGAATCTCCGCAGATGGCTGGATGTTTCGGATTGCCGATGTGAATGACTCATCAATCCACTGTCCAGACAGTCACGTGGACAGGAGCGAGCGTGTGGCAATGGTAGAGTACGGATGCTTTGAGGGCTACAGCTGGCAAGAGTCATCGTAGATGTCGCTACAACTACCATCGGAATAGGTAAAAAAGGTTGAAAAACGAAGAAAGCTACAACATACACGAATAGGACTTAAAACCATGAGAATACGTAGCAAGAGAACTGGTTGTGAAAAAAAGTAACTATATGTGAATTTCGATTTGATAAGCGGATTGCCGTAGAGTGACGAGGACGGTGTACATCCGTTCGTAGATAGATGCTGCCTGGGGTCCCAGGTGCCATGGATCAGTTGTTACGGTGAGATCTTCAATTCCGTAATTCTTGAACAACAGTCCTACCGATTGCATGAATCCACAACGCACTTTGGCGTACGCAGCAGGTAACCAACGCGATTAAAGTCTCTGAGTGAAGGTCACGCTACACGGTTTTCTTTAGGCTTAACCTCATGTCAACTGACATTTTTGTGTCTGAAAAATTATTCGTTGAAACTAGGGAGGGGATGTGTGAAAGTTGTCCGATGTTGACTAATCGCTCTGATAAAAGAACAAGGGTTTGCAGGTGGGAGTCAGTGTAGGCAATAAATATTTTGATAAGTCCCAATCTGTGTATGGAAAACTAATAAATGAAAAGCGTTGGTGGTTGATCGAGTGACTGTTGATCCGTTCGACGAGCTTGGCAAATGACTTGCGATAGACCAACAACCAGGGATTCGTGTTTTCCACGCAATGGTAAGTTAAAGCTGATGAAGAAAATCGCGACAGTAGCTACACAAGCCTTCTGATCGCTTTATGGGGAGAGTAAGATTAATATGTGTTCACTCGAGTCAAATGACACCAAATACATCGACCGATACTTGATATTTGCCATGTATGAATACATCCGTGCACTCGGTGATGCCTAGATCTCTATGTTCAAGGAGAAGCAGATTATGGTCCGACTTCGTGATATTTCACCTACAGATACTGTAGCTTCTATTTTTATCTGGGCCAAATTTGTTCCAATCCCTTGAAATCTCGTTTGTCCATCTGTTCTCGAGTTCGCGCACATGCTATAGTTTGATTTGCTCCCAGTATAAGTAGAGTAGCTCACCCGTGATTGGTAGTGGTTGCTTTTGTACCCACTTTATCTCTCATCATCATCATCATCATCATCGACGGCATGATATTGGTGTTCAACACCGAAGCTTCGCTGCCGTAAGTTCAGACCCCACTGAGTCGTGACTTGTAATGACTCGAGGCCACAGAGGCGAATTGGCGGATCATTTGACTGTTATCTTTGACCCCGGAAAAGCGAAGGACTCAGATTCCCTGTACTTAATCCGGCTAATTGTTTGTCCATAGTACCATAGAATAAGGGGTCTAGAAGTTGGTTATGCTACTTAGGATAGATCCACTTAGTCTAAGTCAGCGCTCTGTCCGGTCGAAATTACAAACACTAACCAACTTCTCCTTTTAAATGCACTACAGGGTGCCCCAAAATAAATCTTTCCGTATCTTTGAATGCGATTAAGAGGGTTTATGCAAGAAAAAATGATACTCGCTGAATATGTTGAACAAACGCGGTGAGAGAGAACAAAGAAGAGCACGCCTGATCAGAAATGGACCAGAACGAATGGGGTACAGCAGGGCTCATTTGCGTTGAGAATTGGTCTGCAGAGCCCGTTAGGAAACACCGCAGTAACCGGGGTGTTCAGGTGAGTTTTTAGATACATCAAGAATCTCAAGCCGTATTTTTCACGAGGTAACGAACAATACTTGAAGAGAACATTGACATTCAATATATAGGGAGCTGAGCAGTCCCACTGATATCACCCCCAAGTTAATCAGGCTGACCGCAGCTTCAAATCCGTTTGACTTTATTTCCGTCCACCCAACTCGCTTAAAAAGATTCACTGGCCGAATAACTCACCCATATTTACTGCTAATAGGCTGATTAGGAGAAAGAGAACGTTGCACTTGGTCATGTTTCTCATCGGATCAATTTCAACGATCCAAGTTGAGTCAAAACAGTTCACACAAGGACGCTGACATCAGGTAGTTCGTTTATCTGTGGTTACGCTTTCGCATATAATATGAAGAACAGACGTAATGACGTGAAAGGACGTATGCTAGTGGAAAAACTAAAAATTGCAGACAGTTCCGAAGTCCGAGAGATACAAAAGTAGTATCTAGAAAACAAAGCGGTGAATAGAGGTACGAAATAGAAATATTTGATTGGAATCATAATAGCAAAGGGACAATCAACCCGTTAAGACGTGTGAATGTTAATACTCAGTTCCTCTCTGACAAAGTATGCGCAAAGTTTAGGAAATCCGATAATAATAGTTCAGTTGTAACGCCCGTTACCTAGCTGCCATACCACCCGAAGGAAACACGAGGGCTGAGATATTTCCAGGTTACCCAAACTCACACAGAAGCAGCTGAGATGCAGAGGCTGGATTTGAACGACGGAAATTCCGGCCAGTGAATTCGCGCCTAAATCAATGAGCCACCGGATGAAGATAAAAAGGATGACCATTGAGCCAAGAAAGAGCAATACATATATGATTTAGAATACGGTGGCAAAACGGCGTCCCAAATGTGTTCACGATAAAAAGGATAGGACGACTTTGTAGGATTTTATTTAGTCTCTTGGGAGTTCTCCCCATTATTATTTGATGTATCATTCAATTGGCCGCTTTGGTTTATGTATTAAAAAAGAATCCTTGTTTGAAACGTAAAACCCAACCTAGCTCACTATTCTCTGCAGGGAATCTTCCTCCAAAACAACGTGAGGTAACGCACGTTAATGCAAGATTAAGGTTAATTTCGATCAGGATTTCTTCCTGCAAGTGAGGTTCACCTATGCTCAAAAGCCGAGAAGAATCATTTTCTAGAAACAGGATCATCTCATTGACATGACCGAAATTCCCCACTTATTTTCCGAACTGTTGTCAGACTGAACTAGTAGGATGGGGTGTGTGCAAAGCTTTAGTGTCATCGACTGTTGGAAAAATGAGAACCTAACATACCAAGCGCGGCATCTTTACGCGGCAACTCAAACATTCTGACGCGAAAAATCCGGGTCCGTGGTGATGGACTTGTTTGACCCGTCACTCTAGATCAATAACGGAGGAAAAGTAACCACCTTATCCCCTACAACGCGGTCTGCAATGAGAATTAGAACTCGCGAATGGGGTACACAGTAAACATCGTAAGCATAAAGTAAACACGAAAATGTTCCGACACCGCTGATGTTGTCCTTACTTGTCATGCATTGCCGCACTTCTTTGTCCAACAATCGGTTGAACATGAAGTCGGTATCCTTGCCAGTGGGCTTAAGGCTTGTCTGAGGGACGAAGGCTCTCTGTATCCATTTATCAACCACACAACATGCTAAGGCTTGATCGATTGCAGTGTACGTATTACGTGACAAGCGCTAGAACGAAACTCCAAGCAAGCTAACAGCCGTGGAGCTTTCCCGAAAAAAATGAATCAACATGACCTCGTATATTAAGGGCAAACACAGCAGAGTGGTTATTGCCACAGCTGAAGAGCGGACTGTGGACCAGGAGCTAAGGTCAAGGTCAATCAAGTGAAGTATGAATTGTAGCCCTGCTTCCCAATGTACACATGGAGGCGAATATGCATAATCAGAATAACGGATAAAACTGTATGACTTCTCAATAACTTTCTCTTCTAAACAGCTCGAATCAGGTCGTCAAGCTGCAACTCTTCCGGTGCATGGTAACTATAACAGCCGAAGGAAGAATAAGGGCTGAGATACATCCAAGTTGTCCACGTCTAGACACAAACAATCGATATACTGAAGTTTGGTTCAACCCTTCTCGTCAGTACGCTCACACCTTAACCATTGCGCTATTTCGAGCTCAACCATGGGGGAAGAAAAGGAATGCATTTTGAAAGAGCAGAATGCCGCTGAATGAGGGAGTAACAAAAATTAGCAGAGGAGTACACTAAAATCCCAGTGCAATTTAGCCAAAAAAACAAGTAGATATTTTCCTATCACTAAGAGAGACAATGAACCTCTGAAATTAGATTAATCGACTGTTCCAGCGGCGAATAAAAGACAGCGCTTTGTTGTGAAGAGACAGACTTCAAGATCAAGATTATCAGTCTTGTCCAATCCTATCTGAAACAAATTAAAACTGAAGGGAGACAGATGAAAAATGTTAGAGTTGTTTGCCAGTAAGAAACCTTTCCTCCTCTAGCTTCGAGAAAATTAATTCGGTGGAGGGGAAAAAAGCGCACTGTTTGGATGGCCAGGTGAACGACGTTCAAGAATCCCTGTCCACAGCTCGCAGCTCAGCGGCGCATTGGATTTCGCTGAAAAGATGGAAATAAGAGTCCTACAGGGAACTCAAGAGGTTGAAGGTATCCATTTGAGTTAACCGGGATTAGTAGGATTCGGCTTTCCGACACAGTTGCAAATTGAATAAGGAGCAATGCACTCCTGAGTCACGTATTTGAGAGCCTGTTGGGGAGGCTCTGCTTGCGTCCTTCCAGAAATCCAACTAAGGTAGCCCTTTCAAGTGACTTTTAGGCAGATACCGAAACACTCTGGAAAACACCTCAAAAAACAGAAAATGACCATAAATTCCATTGAAAAACTCCTGATGAGGTTAATTTGCAAAATTCAGGTCAAATCTATCTTCCGCAATATCAGCTAACATCGAGCTGACGTGTGTTGTCCACTAAGAAATGCTTCGATGTCTTGATAGTCGGACAAACCGATTCCTCAGACAACCTCCACATCCGGGCTACACATTCACCTGAGGAACACTCCAAACAAGCGCTCCATTCGATTCGACCTCTCAATTGTAACACGCAAATGAGACACTTTTGGACGTCTGTTTGATTTTGAATAATCGATGGGCGCGTTGTGATAAGCAGTGAATAAACTCCCCACTAACTAAAGCAATGTGTCAAAGTCGTAAACTGCTCAGCCGTTCAGCTGACGGGTGCCATGACAGCTCTACTACACGAATCCGAATGATAAGCACTCAGCTAGGAATGAACTCGTCGAGTACCGCAAAGTTAGAGGTCATACTCAGCTAAACCATGAATCGGACCGATGCATCGAAGGCAACAAAAACACATTGTAGGGGCAAAGTGACGCCATCATTCTAATCTAAACATAAAAAGACGTCACAAACGGACCCTCACCATTAGAGGTAAACAGGTCCATTGTGAAATCCACCCCTATCAAGTCGAGCGTGTCTGTGTTGTACATGCAATAATGACCGAATATATAACCGACAGCAACCGTCGCGAGCTCGTCTACCTAGGTATGTCCCCTGGGTCAGGTTGCACGGATCGGTTAAAGGTCCCTTCCCAACCAATAAAATGTTTCCACTTTGGTCAGATTATGGTGAAATAACAACGTTGATATAAGGAGACTCAATGTTCGACGCCTCAACCGCTTCTAAAGGTCAACAGCAGTAACCAAAACGTCGAGGGACACACCTCAGTATGTCCAGATCATGTGGTTCCACCACAATCCAGGCGAACTAAATGCTCTACACAAGCTCAATCTTTTTTACTTAAACCGCACCGAAGTTCGCGCGGTATTCTCAAACTGATCAACAATGTCTACGCTTTACTTCACTGCATTGCATAATTGCGACCAGAAGGTTCGACCATTCCACACAATGATAAGAGGCGCTTCCTATTAGGATAATGCCAGGTATTTCGCTGCGCTTTGAAGGTTGCTAATTTACAGATCCAAGAGCCCATCGCATGATTGGACTTGCTTATCGGGTGGACTCCTGTATATCTCATTGTTAACTGGTCTCTTGGCTAGACGGCACATCAGAGGCAATTTTGAACAGGAAAGTAATCAACGTGGTAAGCAGCAGCATGCGACGGTTACCTACCTGGCTCTGGTAGAGTGACGTGGAATGTTGTTTCCAGCATGGTTTCAGTAACCCGTTGATACTGGTCTAAAAATTCATCAGGTACACCGTTACGATGCAGTTTCGCTAGCAAATTGACCTCAGGACGCTGTTTTCCAAAACGAATATCCACAGATACCGGTGGTGGGGTTCGACTACCACTGACTCCACGATTCCACTCATCTTTTGCTGTCACGCTGATGACACCATCGGTGTGGCTCGGTTCCAAAGCGTAGTAGTAAACATGTGGCCAGGCAGGACCCCAATTTGCGTCGTGACAAGTTGGATACGGATGACTATCCACGGCCGGTCTATCACAGATTATCTTGTATTCGCAGGCAGCACGGAAGGTACTCTCTCGGTCAACCGTAAGGTTGGAAAGTTCCTTCAGAGAAATTGAGAAAATGGATTATCAACATGATCATTTTCTGCGAATATGGACTGACAGGGCACTCAGAAGGAAGATGTACTGATAAACTCATTGAACAGTTGGTCAGGTTCCAAACTCTGACATTTGTACCTTATCTGAGTCTCCTAGCAAGTCCAGGACGCTGAACAAACAATAGTGCAATCAAAGATAGAATTCTTAACTGGAGGATTCACCACTACCCACGACCACTTAGTATGATGAAAACAAACGACGGTTGTACATGATATGGCTTCAGTGACACTACCAACTATGTACGACAACGCTAACTAGAGTAACATGGCTGTGCGTGAACAGGATACAATTACCGGCAGGATCAAAGAGAAACTGGTTGGTTTAGGTATGTACATGAAAATGTGGATTTAGTTAGTACGGCTAACCCGTTAATTTCGAGGTCAACGCTCTGTTCGCTACCAAGCAAAGAATCAGTTGCTCACTCGAGTAGCTAAGAACGAACAAAGAACATTAGACATTGCTTGTGAGGAAAGGAGCTACACAGATCACTGTCACTGTCTTAAAGTCAAAACGTTAAGATGGTTTAAGACAGTTCGGATTTTTGAAGCCGATTATGAGCGCATTTATTTCCTGTCAAACTTATGGGACACCTATAGTGAACGGCCTGATGTGTGCGGCATTTAAACTCTCAGTAACAAAAACAGTTCAATGTGGGAAGGACATCGCTCGTCATGTGGACTCATTAAAGAAAATATAAGAAAGTGCTCATCCGAAAAGTAGACACGGACAACTAATCGACTACAATACTGTGCGGCAAAGATACCTCGGTAATGTGATGATCGCAAAAATCATACTTTTGGCGAATGAAGCACGGATCAATCTCTGGTGCGTGCCCAAGTACACGCCGTACTTGAAAAGCCATTTCATCATGGACCACGACGAAACTCGCTCGAACTAGGTGTAAGAAAACTGAACTATGAAACTGCATCGGAATTTTTCGAAGTAATCGTGCGAAAGCCCACTCAGCTAGGGAGTCCGAATATAAGCACATATTCAAACAGCATCTGAGAACACAATTGGAGTAAAGCGAGAACGACTACAAGATTGGTTTGGTGAAAGGATTCATCGATATCTGCCTTGGTTCAATAGTCAATCGACCCGTCAATTTGTTAGTTTTAACCGTGTACCATAGGCACATTGGTTCCAGCTACTACGGTTTCGATGACGGTAAAGCGGGGGTGTTGGATGTATAGCCAAGATTGGGGGCGATGGCATGCTCAGTTAGTTAGGGAAGAGAGTAGCTATGCATTGAGAGTGATAGCTTTGGTGCACGAGCTCCACTGACTGCGCGACCGGACCGTTTCTGTCAGCGCGATTAACCATTGCTGAGTTGAGTTCCGGTGTTCCCAGCCAGGGAGGTGGCAATTGTTGCGCTCACTCCGTTTACTGGTTATGTTCCCATACTTCGTCGCCATGTCATACACTGTCACCTCTCGGTCGCTTACAGTCAGCAAAGTCCTGGGCAAAAAGAGCTCTGTGGGGCATAGGGTCTTCTGGTACACCACTATACTATTTGGCATTCATCAGAAAGCCGGCAGAGTACGCATAAATACGCGCATGCTTACTGCTAATTATCCAGCCTATGTTCCTCTCGCATTTTTTTGAAGTTTGGAGTCGCGAGTTTCGGGTCAATACAAGAATTCACGGCCTTTTCGTTCGGTGAGCAGAGGATTTATGAATAACTGAGATAATAATTTGCGACGACGGTTGTGCAGTAGACGGTTAGTTGGACTGCGACTCAAGTGGTCTGGGCCGGACTCACCAGCAGCTTCGTTGGGTGTTACAAATCATCATCATCGACGGCATGACGGCACGATGCTTACAACATGATTAGTTGTAAGTGTCGTGGTTGTACGTGGGTTGGGGTACTGTCAGAGCGCCCGTACCTAGACAGAAAGGCAAGTGTTACAAAACGGACGAATGTCTCCACTTGCTCCGGTTAATCTTCTTTCTTCAGCTTGTTAGTTGAACCAGGCCTCACAGCTGGACTTCTGGCATATTACGGCATGTCGAATCGTATTTTGACCATGGCAAAGCGGAATTGGTTTCCAAAAGTTTATTGGCTGAATGAAGCTACGGGGTGAATGCACGGTGAGAAAGGCCGAAAATGTTGATTCCATGGATGGCCTGCTTAATTAATACTCAATGCCTTTCGGCGGATGTGAAAGTTAATGTTGATAGTGTAGCAGCGAGTTCGTTTTCGAAAGACATTGTAGGAAGTGACAGCGATAACCGAGTCACATTGATTCTCACTGGTTTGTTTGTTTCGTTTCAGCAGAAAAGTTTGCATAGTTTGGCACAATGCGTGAGCAGATTTCAAACAAGTGCCCCAGTACAAACCAGTCCATAAAATTTTCTCAGCAGCAACTGAAAGCCATGTGATCAAGCTGCATCGTGTAGAAGGTAGGCGTCAGTTTGCACGGAGGTGTTTAAGGTGCCAGAAGTTTGAACTAGCAAGAAAAATATGGGGATACGCACACAAGGTAAGCTACTGGCTGTCGGAATCGGTTCGAGTTCGCATCAAGGCAATGAGGGGACCCTCAGATTGGGCTTCAGCAAATGTTAGAAGGCCGAATCGCGCATTCAGGTCTATAGCAAATATCGGTACTGAGGTTTCCTGATAACAAGCCAAGAAGTTGATTGGAAATCATACTTGATCCACCGGTCCGTGTGTGGGGACGATGAAAAGAAAACGTTCGTTATCCCAATATGCATTAGCATTGGAATACCGCAATACCATGGTAGCACACAGTTTACTGTTGACCAGTATCCATTCCAAGATAATATAAAATAATTGCTCAACTGTAACCCCTTTCGGTGCCTGGCTACGATGCTGTCCGAATGAAGTACGAGGGCTGGGATACTGCGAAGTCATCCGAGTCTAGACAAGTATGGTCGAGATGTTGGGGTTGGGTTCGAACCGGTCAGTAGGTTCGCACTTAGCCCTTGAGTTATCTCGAACTTGGTGTTCAGACCTAGTTGTCCGAATGAAGAGGGCTGGGATACTGCGAAGTCATCCGAGTCTAGACAAGTATGGTCGAGATGTTGGGGTTGGGTTCGAACCGGTCAGTAGGTTCGCACTTAGCCCTTGAGTTATCTCGAACTTGGTGTTCAGACCTAGTTGGTTGTGCCGCTCCGCAAGCGGAGAGCTCAGCATCCTTCAGGGTTGTGGACAGTAACTTCGAGTGACAGCAAAAACTTGTTAACCCAAATAAACTTCATTAGGTGGTGCTTCAAACCAAGGTCCAAGGCCAGTTGAAGTGTGTAGATCTTGCACGCTCCTGAAGAGTGCAACGAGAAGCGACGACGAAAAAGCGCGTGATCTGAATCCACATGGATGTTCCAGGGCGAGTAAGTCAATAATTGACCCACATCACCTACTGTTTATGGCAATGTGGTCTATCTGTGTTGGAGATTGCCTCGCATAAGGCGAGAACTATATCATCAAGCGGCTTCGTTTGTTTCGGAAGTTAGTACTGTGCAGGAAAAGTCCGCTGTCACCACATAACTGCAGCAGGCATCCGACGTTGTCCGTATTTCTCGATTCCAGCCCAAAACGACCACCCAATTGAGTTGTGGTTCGAATATGGAGCACGTTAGTGGAGAAGCTGAATGGGGTTACACAGCCGGGTAGTCAATGAACAACCAATATCAACATATATTTCCTAGTCAGGGCTGTTTGTTTGGGTTGACAAACGTACGAACGCTGAAGTAGGCCAGTTTGGAAGTATTAAACGGAGGAAATTGATGTGTGTATTTTGTACATGACGAGGCAAATGTGCAAATTATCTCAGAGACGTGGGACGCACAAGGAAGTTTACAGTAATTAATACTGTTTACTAAAAATGGACACGTAGAAATGGTGAGAATAATGGGCTTGTTATCCCGTTATAACAGTTCTTTGTGTAGAGCGGGGAAATCACAGCAGAACAGATTCATTCAGAGTATAAAGACAGAAGATATACTCTTATGGGGACATACAACGCCTTCGTGGAAAGCGAACAGAAGCAATGATAATAAGGAATGAAAAACGATAGCTAAATTCTGGATATCCAAGAACCACCGTAAATGTTCAACGGGCACACATACCAGAATGCAGCGATTCTAAATTAAAACCATTCATCTGTAGAACCTGTTTGGTGTATAGCTGTTGTGTAACCCTAATGAATATGAAGGCCGAGAAGCTGCCAGGTAGCTAAGGCCCAGCTCGGAGCAGCCGAAGACTGCATAAAGATAAGAAAAAGACGAGCTATGTAGTTCCCATGCCCCAAATAGCAGACGCCCAGAATGTAATAAGAATGTGTAATTGGTACTTACTTGGGCATAAATGGTCAAATAGTATACACCAGAAGCCGGAAGTCGAAAATAGAAATTAAGCCTGTCTTTCGTAGTTTCTTGCAAGACGAAATTTTTCAAATCGACATCCAGAGAGGGAATGCTGTCAGACAGTTCCGAAGGGTTAGTTGAAAGTTGCTCCGGGTGAGGATGACCAGAACTGTTGGTCAAATACTGTAATTTGTAGGTGAATCCGCCAGGACGCCAGAACCCAAGAACCATTCTCAAGAGACCATCGCGAGTGAAAACGACTCCATGGTGTTGTTCCAAAAAGTCAATAGCACATTTGAAGAATTGGGACTTGGTTAAAGGGAGATTTTCAAACTGAGAAAGCGTCAGTGGGACAGGTAACAGCTGCCAACAGGGATCTTCTGGGAAATGGCTGTAGACAGCCTACGGCAGAGAGGAGTGGACAAGATATGAGTTGAAACAATGGAGGGATATGTAAACAAACTGTCTAGATCACAAGATGATCACAAAATTTTTACGCAATACCGACATTCGTGAAAATAAAAAAACATCGTGTAATCTAGGATTCGAACCCATCATTTAAAAGCAGTTATACAATTGCTCTAAGAAAGTTTACTTTTCTGAACTTTCCATTTCTATATAGATAATGCTGGCAGCCTCAGGTCAGTAATGTCAGTCACGAACGTAGAAGAGTATGAAGAATAATTCACAAACACAAACAAATTACCATTAATAGGGACTATCATACTGTAACGCAATTGACTATTTCTTCACCTTCTCGTGGCTGTCCTCAGAAAGATGCGTCCGCTCCAATGATGAATCGAATGTCTAGCACCCACAAACACCGAAAAATGGTGTTATCCAGTCTCGTTCAGAGTGCGGTTCTGCAGACAGTTTCAGAACCCACAGCAGTACCCGGTTTTCAAACGTCTCCAAGAGAAGCACTGTCGTTTTGAACACAATAGTGATATGAACAGTTAGACATCTGGCTCCAAAGAAAACGCCCTAAACAGTGTATAGAGTACTGCTGTGTCGTGACAGCATTTTCGTCCCGAAGAGACGGGATCTCACCGTAGCGTGACGAATTTTGCACCTCCACGACTCATTGAGCTATAATAGGCGTCCGTGCGACATTCAGTCTCCCATACCAGGTTGGTCAATGGTTAGAAGTCTGACGAACAGTCTCTTGGTCCTCCAGGTTGGGGGCGACTTGTTTCGTAGAAACGGTGGTGTATCCGCATTTCCCGCCAAAGACTGCTGTCTTGTGGTCAGGCTTTTCAGCCAAAGTTTTCGGCTTAGAAGCCTAATCATCTTCCTCTTTAAGTCTAGGCACCTTGGCGGCATCCCAGCCCACATACAACCATGACAATTACAGATAACCACACACTTATGCCACATCAGCCGTCGCGTGGTGCCATCAGCCGGATCGTCTTACTCGCTTGTCAGGATGCGCAAAGACATGGAAAAAGTACACGTGCAGAGAGTGACGCATCCCCAAGGTCACAATCGGTACGACACGTCCGGAAAGCAGATGCGTCGGCGGAGCTCACTAAACACGGCTTAGCAACATAAGACCAGTGGAGTGGGCCTGAAATTATTCACGACCGGAACGCCGCCATTGGCTGTACAGAACGAACAAGTGAACGACCATATTTGGCCATTTAGTCATCCTACGCAGAAGCTCTGTATGATTTGCCCTGACAATACAGTCGTGTCCCGGGGTCTCTGTCTTCTCCTTATCGCGTAGTCTGACAGGCTCAGTGCAGGCCACCCACGTTACAACATCGCTGCATACAGCAGGGCGGGTAAGCGAAAACAGGCTACTGCTGAGACCTCGCCTTTTTGCTTGATATGCTTTTTCGTTTCCCCTCCCCACTCCGTCTATAGCTTTAGCCTTGTAGGCCAAACAGCCAGGACGGATGAAACTGTTCGTCCTGCAACGGTTTTGCAACTAACATCTGTGCGTCATCCAACGCCGACGTTCTCAGGCATCTCGGAACCAATCGTCAAGCCTCGACGCCCAGACTGTCTGGCAGTCTTCAATATCCGCACTCTGAAACAAGCAGGACAACAAACTGCTCTTGCATTGATGTATGCTGTGTATGAGAAACAAGAACTCACGATGCAAGCTCAGTGGTTGAGCTAACCGCCCCATCTTTCCACTCCCTTCCGGCTACGCGCCTCTGGTGATCCAGAGGCATCAGGATGTGCATGGGTTAGTATCGTCCCAAGCTACCCGGCGGAAGTATCCTTGCTTGACTAGATACCTGTCGATAGTCGACACTGCGCGGTTCGTCTGGCAAGGGCTGTAGAGGAGTCTCGCAAGGAAGGAGTTGGTCGAGATGTGTTTATCGTGTCTGCTTATGACTCAAGTGACTGTAGCTCCGACACCGTCAAAGACAGATTTTACGACGTCCTGTTGCGGCGAGCTGTAAGCTCCGATATCGTTGTAGTTGCCGGAGATAAGAGCGAACAAGCGGACAGGCTTGGCGCATCTAAGACTTAATTACGAGATCGATATGGACAGGACTCGGTACGTACGGACAATGGGGAACGATTGCTTCATCTGTGTGCTGACTGTAGGCTGGTTTTATGCAGTACTAGCTTTCGAAATAGCCGAAGACGTCTGGCCACATGGTATCCCCCAACGACATGCCGACCATACTTAAATCGATCACATTGCCATCGGTTACTTATGGCGCGGATCAATCACTGACTGCCGGTCGTTTAGGAATAAATCTCTGGATTCCGACCACGCACTAGTCTAGTGTCGCTTATCTCTACGTTTTCCAAACCGCGCAAGATGCGGACAAATCGCCTGGCAACTGAGAGACTGGCAGATCCAGATGTTAGACGAATTTACGAGAATCGTCTTCTAGAGTATTTTCCAACTGCTCCATCATCACACGCGAATTCATACTAGGGCGAGACTGACACCTCATTGCACAGCGCATGTGGCACGACACTACCAGGCGCAACCAAGCACTGCATATCAAACCGAACAGTGGCACTTCTTGAATCTCGGAGAAATATCCTAACCGGTCCCGAACATTACTTGATGAGACGAATTATCAGATGTCAAGTGAAAGTGTGCATGCAAGCCGACATTGAAGTCTGGTGAACACGGAAAGCCAAGGAAGAGGCTTAGAAAGCCGGGAATGCCAGATAATTGCAGTTGATCCGTGCGACCGGTCTCCGGAAACATTCTGTAAGCGAAGCCATCAGGAATCGGAACGGAGCAACCAACTTGAGTAAACAACGCCCCGACCGTTAGGCAGAATACTTCAAACATTAGTTATCGTAGCCACTCATCTGGAGCCCACGGTTGACGTAGAACCCTGAACGGTGAACGCAGAACTCCCTACGGTCTCGGAGGTCTATGAACGCATATGATCCCTCAAACGGCACCGAGCTTCAGGTCTGGATGACTTCTCACCGCCATTGTTCAAAGATGGGGGTGAACTCCTAAGTCAGCAGTTGTCTGATCTGCCTGCCTGAATTTGGGGAGAGGATACCGTTCCAGACAACTGTGGAGAGTCGATGATAGTGATAGTTTCCAAAAAGAGTTTGTGGTGAGTGGGTATCCACAGGTGGGTTAAACTGACCCCGGTCGTAACAAAAACGTTGGCATACCTCATGTTTCGTCGTCTTATGCTGGCTCGTGAAACACTGACTCGAGAGCAGTAAGCGGGGCTCCGACCTCGCACAGGTGGCGTTGATCAAATCTTCACACTCCGTCAGGTACTAGAACAACGCCATATGTACGAACGACCCACAGTTTTAGTATTCCATGATTTCCGAGGCGCGTTCGACCAGGTTGACCACTCTGTTCTTCTTGACACGCGTGCCCACCAAGGAATGCCCCGGAAGTACGTGAACATAGTACGGTCTTCAATCAGTTGGAAAGCGCTTGGAACCGATTGGCTGGTCATTATTTTCGAAAACCTCAGGTTTACAATTTACCGATGGTTACCAAACATTTCCGAAAATAATATGTTATTCGTTTTCTCAGACTTCCGGACTTGTGAGTATATAGGGAGAGCTCTCCAAAAGCTTCCGTACACAAAGCAGTGTCCGTCATGGGTCCAGATCCTCTCCATTCCTATGTGAATTCGTGATCGATAAGATAATGAGACGAACGCTGAAAGGTCTTCAAAACCCCGGTGTTCAAATAGCCCGTGACGAAAACCTTGTAGATCTGTAATAGGCAGAGGACATTGTGCTCATCTTCGAAGAGGTGCAGGTGTTTTTGGACGAAACATCCAAAGTTCTCCCGTCCTTTGATATGCACTTTGCACCCACAAAGTGTAACGTCATGCTTCTGCACATGCAGTTACTGAACACACCACTTACAACTCAGGGATAGCCACCCGAAATTGTGGAGCACTTTGCGTACCTGAGAGCTGCATTAGTTCTGATTGTAGTGTGATAGACGGGGTCAGGCCACGAATCTGCAAGACCCGGGCCACGTTCGCTAATCTGAGACACCTATGGCGTCAAAGCGGTATGTCCCCGAATCTCAAAAGACGTGCGTATCAGGCCACAGTGCGAGAGGTTTGTTGTATGGCTGCGAGACCTGGTCTGTACGAGCAGCGGAATCCAGACCCCTTCAGTTGTTTAACAATCGTTGTCTCAGCATCATAGCTCGTGTGGGTTGGTGTTGGCGATTTCGTAACGAGGCAGTCAGCAAGCGAGTTTCCGGTTGTGCAACGGGGAATTTCATTGAAGAATGTGTCCAGCACCAGAAGCTGCGTAAGGCTATGTACTACGCATGCCGAAGAGAGTGGTGTTTTCCGTGCCCAATTCAGTGGAAGAAGCCAAGAGGAGGCTAACTCTTGACCTGGCAAAAGTGTATGAGAGGTTAAAAAAACGTTTCGGTGCTGTTGGTGCTACTCACCTTCCAGGATGGGGACTGAAATCCCCCTACACCTGGTTGGAGACGCTACAAGATATGGCTGCCAATCAATGCCGATGGTATTCTTGCTGTCAATTTTTATTCAGATTGCCTGAATGAGTATCTGGAGGTGTAGGTGCCTCGGAGTGATTGTAACAAACTAGCACTAAGTCCCTTACCCGTCGACTTTTATTCTATAATTCACAATAAGGCTTTGAAATAAATCATGGTTTTACCGCAGAGATGCATCAGTGTTGAACACTGATGTCATGCTGACGATGATGAAAAATTTACCCTATAAGACCAACGCACCATCAACGTTCGCCCTGAACACCATTGGTCGTACACTTCGAGTATGTACCGGTACATGTACAGTAGCTGTATTATGAAAATAAAGCTCCCCGTGAAAGTTGACTCCTAAATGTTTCGGTGGGACCTGAACCGCAGAACGTTGTTCTGGAGTGCACAATTTGAAAGCCACCCTTATTGTTTTGCTTGTTTATTCGACGTGTGTGACGAAGCACTGGTAAGTGAAACGAGCCAGCTTAGTCTGTCGGCCATCCGTTACTGTCGCAGAAGCTGGTTAGGTGTTTATGGTTGTAGTAAGGCTCGTCATTCAGGAATCTCAATGAAAGCGGAGAAAAGTAAGAGGCTCAATATGGGATAACTCAATCAAACCCCATGGGCCTGGGTAATTTGCTCGAACGGTTGTATCATCCAATGTCCCCCCCCCCAACCCCTTCCAACCATACAACCAAACGTTGCTAGATCATTTGATTGTCAGTTATATGAAGAATGCGTTTTATGCTCCCCGCTGACTACTAACAGCAAAAAACAACACCTTGCTAAATGCATGAGATCTTTGCCACATAGGAGCTTTCAACGTCAACACTGTACGTTGAATTGGCAGACAGGTGGTGCTCGCAGAGACCCTATACTCCATTGAAATTTGATGTATGCTGTGTCTCCAAAACAGGCATACGAGAGCCAAGCGTGGTCATGCATATCAGAACGTCAAGGACGAATGGAGGTCCTTCACGTTTCCGCCTTCACCTGTCCGGTGATCCAAAAGCGATGACTTGTGGAATATACGGCGTGGGCATTGCACACAGTCCCAAAGGTGAACGTGCTTTTCTGCATTGGATTCTAGTGAACCGTCGCCTTTGCACCGTCCGGTTGTTCAGCTTGATCAAACTCAATGCCTCTGAACAT